GAGAATTCTGTTCCTAACAGGCTTTTCCATTTTTAGTGTTATAGAGCCTTAAGAACTGTCTGCATGGGTCAGGAGTAACTCTGATGTTCAGACCTACCACATCACCCTTTTATTACTTGAGCTAATGAAGTGACTAGTAGAAGACTGGTAGCTGGAGAAGCATACACAACACACTTGCTGTAGGGCTTTTTCTTCTCCTTCTAGTAACAAACAAAAAAAAATAAATTGAGCCTATGGAATAATGGATTAGATTCCTGCTATGATAGGGAAAACGTGTTTATCAGTTATAGATCTTTCTGGAGTTTGAGTAAATGTTAGAAAAGCAAAAGATGCTCCCAGTTGTCTGGTAACCTCCCCATGCTAATCTTCATGCTCTTGGCCCATAGCGGGGAGGCACTGCCTCTTCTCATTTAAACGAATGTCTGCTTCTATAAAACATACGCAAACTGCACTCCACAACCTCCAATGTAACTCTTAGAGAAAGACTTGCTCATTAGCAACTTCCAAAATAATTGTGTTGTTACTTACTTGTAACTTCGTTTTTGACACCATATCGTTTCTTATTCAGCAAGGCACCTGACATTTATAGGTGAAAGTTAGTGGCCTATAAGTCCTGTAATCGTGTCAAATGATGAAGAGGATCTTTTTTTAGGTCTACATGGTGCTTTATGGCAGCTAGTGCAGGAATGATTCCAGGGTTTAAGCCTGCGCAGTTTTAAATGATTTATGCTCTTGTTGCTTCTCAGGGAGAGAGTGTCCCACAGCCTCAAAGACCTCTTGCCTTTTCCTTTCCTTCTGCCTCAAATTTTCCATTGATGAATTTTTATCCCAACTTGCACACCCACTCAGCTAGTTTGAACTCTTCTTCTGTGTTTTTATGACCTTCCAGTGCTAGTAGACATTTACTACATCCCTCTTGTCTAGTGGACAGATGATGTATATTGAATCTTTCTGTGTAAATGTACCCTTTCAGCGTCTTAATCTCTTTTGATGGCATTTTTTCTTCTTTGAATTCTTTCCCATCCTTCACTGCTCTTTACTGTCCCTGGACTTTGCTTGGAAGTTCATTTCTTGCAAGCATTCTGGATGCCTCCGGCAATACAGGAAAATATAGTAGGATGGTGCAAAGGGGAGGGGAAAGCGAGCAACCCTCAAGTGTCCGGGATAGTGCTCAATGCAAAAAAAGCACAGACGCAAATGTTGCATATCAGCATCAGTAATACGAACAGTACTTCACCTTCACCTCCGGTACTATGCTAGTCATCATTTTAGACATTGATACCTTTCCTTGCTAGAGAAATAAAATAGCTCTGGGTTGACAGGTGAGAAAGAGCTGAAAGTAGATTTTCAGAAACGTTTAGTATTTCCTTGTATAATGGATGCAGTCAATGGCTGCATTGACAAGTTATGGTATAATGTAGTCACAGGAATTAGCATTTTGTCTTTGTAAATTTAATGCATTGCTCTATTGAAACAGACTGTTGATTTCATTCCTTATGATTGTAGGACACTGCTTCCAGCACTTAGCAGAAGATCTGTGTATAACTAATTTTTGTACGTCTTAAGTGGAAATACCTGCATTTTGTTATGTAGCGCAAGTCACGGATACTGTTTTCATATCAACTTTCCCCAGGCACAGACTACTGTGGATACATAGCAGGTCCCGCTCTTTTCAAGGTCTTGTACCAGACTGCAGAGGTACCGTTTTGCCTCATTTCAGTCTCACTTTCCCAGACCATCCGTGTGTGTTAGTGACATTGCCTTCTGGCCTTTAAGATGAAGGCCACTAATTATTTACAGCTTCATAAATATCTACTTGTGGAGTGCATTACTTGAGGAACGACAGTAAAATGTGACTTTTTCCATTTGAATTTGTTAGAAAGCAGTATTGAAATTCAACTTTACTGAAGCAGACAGCAGGCTGGACCCGTGCTGCACCGGGGATGCCACGTACGCAGTCAGCCGTACCAGCACCCTGCCAGGATTGAACAGGGGCCCAGCCTGCACTCCCTCTGCGGCAACCGCTGCTTAAAGCAAGAGAGCATCCCAGCAAGAGCCAGTGCTGCTGTGAGTGACACCTGACAAGAAACACCGACATGGAAACTTGAATTCTATTGTCCAACTACAACATGGACACCTGCAAATGAAGGTGCCAAGAAAACAAACATTCAGGAGCTTAAGGCTATTTAGAAGAGTCAAAATTAACTTACGTTTTAGAAATATTTAGGAAAATGCTGATCTGAAAGTAACATGAATGCACTTTAAACAACACGCAGAGGAAATCCTTGAGGTGCCTGAGGAGTCTGTCATGCATTAGCATGCTTAAAAATACAAACAAAATGATCATTACAGAGAAAAATAAATTAGCTCTAACCCTGCTTGTTCCAAGGGCCCAAATCTGTGAAGAAATGTGTTTGTTGGTTTTTTTTTGTTTGTTTGTTTGTTTGTTTTTTTAAATTGTGCAGTTGTTTTGGTTTTAGTATTGACTTGGGAAGAAAAAAGATCCTGTAAGAGCCAAACAAATGACAGTCCCTTATCAGAGAGGTTCTCTAAAAGACTCTTTGGTGTGTGAGAACTAGTACCACAAGAGCAAGAGGTTTGCTTTTGCCAGACTGTGAAGCAGCATCCCTCACTGCTTCCCTGGGGAAAGTAGTGGGAAGTGATAGCAGTCAGGACTTTGGGATGCTCCGGCAGAGAAAGAATACGATGATTCTGGTAACTGAAAGGCAGCAGGCTTCCTTCCAGCTACTCTGTCAGACAAGCCTCACAAATCAAAATCCTCTTTCAGATGCCCAAATTATATTTCTGTTGGCTGAGACTTGAAAAACTTTTTAAAGTTGCTTGAATTAACAGCTGTCTTTGGCTTCATTTTTCACCTTAGTCAGTTGTTTGTATATCCTCCTGGCCTTCTCTTTGGCGTCATTTCACTGCTGCGTGTGCTTTAACTTTCTCCAATTACTTTCACACTTGCATTTTTTAAAGTGAACCTATAACTCCGCAACTCATCATGCCCTCTTTCTCCCCGTAGAAAATAGGAAAGTGGTGAATTACTTTTCAGCATTGCATACAGCTGCCTATCAAGTAGGAGTTTGCTTTGCTCCCTGTTAAATTCAAGAGTACCTTTCCACAAGACCACTGCAAAATAGAGGTTTCTTCTTAGTTTTAAATGTATGAAGCTATTGACTGGGGAGTATTTCTGTCCAGCTGTCTTCCATCATGAAGATTTGTCTTCCAAAAATTTTGAAATTGCTTTGGTACCCGTCTTTAACAATGCTAAAAATATCAGCCTGGGAGAGGGCAGAGGTAGCTACACAGTTGGTAGCAGTATGTAAAGAACTGGTGGTAAGAAAAAAAAGCATCCTTCTCTGGGCACAAGAGCAGAAGGAAGAATGCAGAATAAAATAAAAACCATTCTGCTTCTCCAATTTTAAACATTTAATAGTGCACTTATTGAGTATATTCTGTACAGACATCTATAGCAAGTTAAACATTTTCCTTTCTCTCACGTAGATCATAGTCATGTAAAGCACATTTACAATAGAAAACATACTTGAGGTACAAAAACCCAAAAAGAATATCTGAGGTATAAATACAGGTATATTTTAAATAAACTTTATCATGCTTTATCTATGTTTGACAGTACACTGTGGGCAAGTATACATGTTTACAATAGAATGGTATGTACAACATACAATTTTACAAATTCAAAAGTGTTTGATGTAGAAGAATATACAAGGTTTTCCTACTCATGAGGAACATTGTTACTGGAAGTACTACATTATTTGCCGTAATAAAAAAATCTTCATCAAAAAGCTTAAAATAATACTGACAATGGTAACAAAGTCTCAGTCAAAATTCCATCTTGCAACTCATTCATACCCTAGCCACAAAATACATTTATCACTTAATACTGCACCTTGAAAGCAAATCTTTACCTTTACAGTAAAACCTACAGAAAGACACCTTTCCAGAGGACCTGAAGACTTCCTACAGTTCATACAAGTTGATTCTCAAGGAGGGAAGCAATATCCCAAAGGGTTTAAAATCCAACAAAAGCCAAAATAAAACCTCACCCTCCTCTCTGCCCCCAAATACAACCCTCCAAATTGCTCACATCTGGGTTCTGTTCGTGTTAATGTGCAGCTTTTACAAAAACAGGCAAAGGAAAGAGAGAAAGGGAGAGGGCTCGTGCGACCCTTCCTACCCACCTCAGCCCACTGCTGCTGCAGGAGTCCTGCCACCGCCTGGCACCACAACTCCAGTGTTGACTTCTTCCTCTTGAGCCGTTAGAATACAGTAAAATACATAAAAGCTCATTAAAACACTTGTAGTTAATGTAGATAGGAGTAAAAGCAACAAACAATTTTTTGAAAATTAACAATTGACATTACTGGTTCTCTTCACCATTGCAGACATTTAATCTCTAAGTGCTACGTTGCTCAAAAGTATATTTATTTAAAATTGCTATAGAATTGCTAATCACTCCTAAAAGATCATCTGGTAAGGAGTGGACGATAATCAGAGCAAGCCTCTTGTAACATCTGCTTAGGATTTTTAACAAGGTTAGAGCTGAGGAAAATGCAGAACTGGCACATGGGAAGGATGGCTACTCCTGGTCCACAGGGGAGTCCCATTCTAGGTTGAACTGTATCCAGCATACTAAAATCCATTCTGGTTGCCTATCAGTGTACCAGACACGTTTCAAGTTCAACTTCTTCTGCTATCCTTTCAACCATTAACACACTCACTCACACTTTAATCTCTGTGCAAACCTTTCTCTGCTTATCTCAGTGAGAACACATTGAAGAGTACCAACTATTCCAGTGGATACACCAGTCCCTCAATGCACTACAAATAAAATGACATGGGTATGTACATAAAGCTAAGTATTTCACATGAGAATGATGAGCCTTCACCATATTTCATAATATATTTTGCATCTAAAGAATTTTGCTTCTCAGAAGCAATTCAAACCATCTAATAGTACAATTTTTTTTTTTTTTTTGCACAGTCCTCCTATGTATTCCAGTCAAGGCCTACACTATAGACCTTACACAGACAGGAAGCAGCTTTAAAGTGTATGGTATGGCCACAGTCCTATAATAATGCTCACAGTCAAGTTCTCATGCTGTCATCCCTTCATGACATGACTTGCAGATGGTACACTAGTCTGGTCTGCAGTGGATGAGCCTCAGTTTTGGGTAACGTCTTTGTTGTTGAGGTGTGGAGTGCATGGCTGTTCCTCTTCAGTAGTCACCTGGATTTTACTTCCTTGCTCTCAAGACTCTGATGACTGAAAGAGTCTCGTATCTTAACAACTTCAGATGCACACAAGTGTCCAAAAGACTTGGTGTACCAGTCTGGTGTGTGGCCCCTGATGTGTGGAGAAAAAGTAATGATGAAGTAGGTACCAGTAACTTTGCATGCATTTGCTTAGTCAGAATCAAATACGTATCTAGCTGGTTAAATGCCCGACTAGGAGATTTCCTTATTACTGCTCATTGCTCAGCTCAGCCTTACTAATATATAGACTTGCTCAAAAATAAGTTTGCCGCAGTGAGGAAAAGTTATGAGAAGTTTTGTGAGAACTTGGTCCTCTTTACTAAGTTAATACTGAAATTAAGATGTCCTTGCATCCAAATACATCTGTCAGAGGAAGGGTTGGGATTATACACCAATAGATATTGTGGAGCACATACTGGTGGCTTCTAGTGCAACAAACCACATCTGCTTTTAGATGTGCACTGAAGCCAATTTTCTGCGACATCTCAGAGACCTGTGTGCCTGCCTTTGAGAAGTACATACTACTGGTCAAGCTAAAGCCTCTTGAACTGTCTACATTTTGCGTTGACTATGCAGAAACTATACAAGAAAAGTTACCACCACGAGAGGACAAAGTGGAAATTCATACCTTAAATCAATTCTGCACATGTAGGTAAGTTTAGATTTTCCTGACCCGCAGGGCTCAATCAGATACCTAGACAGGAGCACATTGACTCTAACACCTGCCACTGGAGCACGGTCATGGTCCACCGAGGTTGCTAGAAGCACACAAGCTCCTTTGGGGAAATTTGTCCTCCATGTTCTAAGAAAAAAGAAGGAAAAAAAGTCCTATCTTTGACAAACAGTAATGCAAACATATAATAAGACTTCAAGTTTTGCACAAATAGATATTTACTATATAACGTGCATTATACAGAAATCATAGGCAAGGTTGCTGTATGTGTAGGATAGAAACATAATGGCATATAGAAGTCCTACCTTAAGACTACGAAGTCCCTGGCTGGGTGAGGTGCCATGCTGTTCTGGACATACTGGTATATATCTGTCTGGCTATCCAAAGGTTCGATTACTTTTGAATCTATAAGATCTTCATCCCAAAGATGCTGCTCTTTAAGTAAACGATTTAAAACGTCCTCTGGCGTAGCCGGGATTTCAATGGTAGTTTTCCATAACCGGAGTGGGGGACCTTCGCATACCTGGGGAAAATCAGCACAAAATCCTCATTTTTACTCTTCCTTACACTTTCTTTTACTTTCTATTTTAGTGTTGGCTAAAAACAGCACATTAAATACACGCATATATATGTATATATTGTACTAAGCTTGTTGTAAGCTCAGACTGAGGTTGTTTTCCTAACAGTCAAAGGCATCTGCACGCTGACTTCCAAATTATTTTTAAGTTACAGTTACCTTCTCCAGTATGGGTCACTATTAAATCCTAATTTTCCTAGTTTATTTTTTAAAAATCTCATTGAAACACTTCTCCCTGTGCTAGCTCTGAGCTGTGCAAGATTAGAGCAGAGGAACTTCTTTCCTACTGCCTGCACAGTGACAGGGCTTGGAGGCTTCACTCAGGCTGTCAAGGCTTTGCACATGTGGGTGAAGACATGCAAATGCAATACAGCAAACATTCCTGGGCTGGATAAACAGAAGAACAGATCAGTGCATGTTAGCTGACTACTGCTGAAAGACATGTTGTTTTTAGACAGTGTGCAACTATGTCAAAAGATTAAGGGTTTTTTTTTCTTAAATCTATCTGCAAAGTAAAGGTGTGCACTGAACCTTCTGTAATACCCTATGTCAAAAGCCTGCTTACATTAGAAAAGATGAGCTAAAAACCAGAGCTGTGGCACGAGTGACAGGGTGCATACCTTCTTGTAGGCCAGTTCTGCTTGCTCTGAGGTGGAGCAGCTGACCCAGCCTTTAAACTTCTCCTTCATCTCTTTGAGTAAGTCATCCACGCAGTCCTGGAGGTAGCAGTGGTAGTCGGAGGGCTCGGCGGTGCTGCTCCCCCCCCGGAGCTCCTCCAGGCTGAGGGGACGCAGGTCCTGCTCCGTGTACGAGTTCCGGCCCCTGCTCATTTCTTCAGGTATCTAAGGGGTGACAAGGGTGAAATCATCCTCTTGCAGCTCTCTCCCCAGATCACAGTTAGTCTAGCAGCTTGATAGCCACAGAAAGATGGGTACACTAGTTTTGTAAGTGGTGGGACGTGTATGCGTCAGGTCAAGCACTCAACGTGACGAAATGCCAAAATTAAGTTTGTGACTTTAACTCAAATTAGTCTCTCATTTATGGGGTGTCCTATTTTTTTCCATGGAGTATCCCTCTTTGCTACACAACTTAGATCCATTCCCACAGCACAGTTTATCCTGCAGACTGAAGGAAGGAGGGATCAGTTGTCAGCCACAAGAAAAGAGACAGGCATGTCTTCAGTTGAGGGCTCTGAAAAAATTCGATGACAGTGATGAAAACCAGGACTCAAGACGTGTCTGGTTCTCCATCCCTGGCCCTAGAGGGAGCATGCTTTTGGTTCCTACAGCCTCATCAACATACGGTTTGACAGTGTCACGTTCCAGGACACTTTTGTGGCATAGTCTTGCTAAGTCCTGGGAATTTAAGTATAAAACAAGCACTGAAATTCCTGGAAATAGCTTCTTGCTTTGTAATTAGAGCTGAACTTCACAGATCCTCATGGCTGCACAATAAAAGCTTGAAAACATATTTCAAATGCAGCTTGGATGTAACAAAAATGTTCCAAACCCCACAACTGCCTCATGACTTTTGAGAGTCAGTGCCAACAAAACAATTCTTTTCTTCAGGCACCACTTCTAATTCATCTACGCACTCAGACCAGGATGCAAAGTTTTTTAAAAAGCTATTTATCATGTATTAAATTTTATTAAAATAAAGAGACATTCCTAGCTTTCCATTATACAGTAGATCTAAGCCATGTTGGCCAATACTCCACCCATCAGTTTTGCAAATAGGTGTTTTACCTGAAAGAGCTTCTTGCATTCAGCGATCATGTGAGCTAGTCCTTGGGTTGCAGCTAGATTTTCATTTAGGTCTTTCTGATCGGGTTTTCCCAGGCTTGGCTTTCTTTGCATCACCCTTCACAGGGGAAAAAAGCACACACACACAAATCCAGTTATTTAATGGAGAACAAGAGAGATGCTTGGTAAGAAAACAGTAGGATTCCCAAATCTGCTGGTGATTTAGAGCAGCACTGCCTGGGACCAAATCTTGGCACGGCGTTACCCACTTCTCTTGCTACTCTAAACTTTTTATTTGGAATCCCCCCACATTTCTTCCTTCTTATGAAGTTGCTTATATTTTAACAAATCTCTAACAAAAGGTAGGATCCCATAACCGTTCTATACCCAGTGCCCTCTGAGGTCTCTGAGGTGATCACAACTGGTAGGGCCAACGCTAGGCCATGCTTGTTGCACATCGCCACTAGCTGTGGTATGCGACCAGCAGCAATGAGCCCTGCTCCCCAGAGACGTACCTTGGGGAAGAATTCTCTCTTTTGAGAGTGTTTAAGTGGAAGAGGGAAGGTGCTAAGCAGACAGCCAGGTTTGTTGGTGTCATCTGGTTTTCCTTCACTGCAGCTGTGACGTCACTCAGGAAATAGAGAAGAATCTGGAGGACCTCCCTGTTCTCATCAGGTAAAAGCATAATGGCAGCCTTGATGGCCTGGAGACGCTGATCCTTTGGCACATCTGCATAATATTAGTAATTCTCTCATCAGTCCATTGATTTTCCACACACACAGCATGAATACATCCCAAAGCAAACTCCAGCTTCAAATATTTGACTCCAGTTTGAAATGATTTCCTTCAGGATGCATACCATTCATAGGAAACATGAAGGAATTTTTTTTTAACCCACTAGCTTAACTACCCTCAGCTATTTCCTGCCTCACAAGAAATGCAAGCAAGAAGAAGCTGTGCCTAGGCCAGAGTTAATTTTAGATTTAATTTTAACAGCTCCTGCAGATGCACTAAAATGACAGAAGCCTGGACTCAGGCAGTGAACAAGCAAACACAGTCCAGCCAATTTAGAAATTCTTTGGCTTTCAAAGAAATTCAAAACATGAATGCTTTTTAGAATAGGTGAATTAATTAAATAAACTGGCTAGCAAACCTTTTCAACAATGATGTCATAAAATGTCCAGAAAATGCTTTACCAAACACAGAGGGTTGCTTTATTGAGCAGATCATTCAAAGTCATGCGGTGGAAAAAGAAAGTCAATGCTGTGAAGCCCCATACCATTAAACACCTCCTTGGTTACTAACAACAAACAGCCATTGGAAAAATTCGACGTGTGTCTTTATATAAGGCCCTCTCCTCCAAACTTGAAGGGAACAAAAAATGAAATATTCCAGACCAGATCTGCTTCTTATAAAGGGATTTCCAATAAGCCATCTCTGAAGACAACATCAGAGTCTGAGTCCTGGAGCATTTATATCATCATTAGCACCACACCACCCTCACTGCACGTCTCATAATACACGTGGTGCTAAACAGATATTTAACTGGTATTTGCTCTGGGCTTCAGCAACTTCGTAGGGCTAGCAGGTGAGTTTAGAAAGCAATTTCAAGCAAAAATCGACTGCTTTCCACACTCTCCCCTCAATCAGCTCAAAGCACATTTAAGCCACATGCGGACGATTCCAGTGCGCAGCCTGGTGCGTAACACCAAAGCAAACGGAAATATTGTCTTTTGCAGGGAAGCAAAATTTACAGCTGCTTTAAGGCTCTTTGCTTTACACAGAGATAATACTTCCCGACCACCTCTGGGGATTCCTCAGACCTACCGCCTGCGAAAGGAAAGGAACAGATACTTCTGCAATGAGCTGTCAAACTTTTCCTTGCACTAAACCCACAAACAGTTGCTGTTTAATATGCACGGAACTGGAGAGTCTGATTAATTTTCTCCATAAACCTTCTTGGGAATCCAAACACACAAAAATAAATGTGTGCATTGAAATAACAGTATGTATGTTTTTGTTTTAAACCACCACCTCCACTCCACCTACGGAGCTCTGAAGAAGTTCCCGTAACCTTTTTGTAACCGTCATCATAAGGAAGGCACAAAATACAGCAAGGGCTCAAAGGAGGTGTTTTTGCACTAAGTTCTGTTGTAGCTGTACTACCATGGGAAGAATATATGGGGGGAGAGCTGGGGTGGTATTAGGGAGCAAAACCACAGGATGAGCAAGGTGCCTGTAGTGCACTAACCAGTTTGGATCCCCCATGCATGTTTCAAAAAGCTTTGGAGTTCTGGTCAGGAAACATTAATTGATCTTTGGCCATTTTATAACGTGAGAGTATTCCCAATGAAACAATGTTGAAGAAAACTTTTGAAAGACAATGTGTTGCTTTGAAAGATCCAATGCAAAATTACCATCTATACAGAACTCAATTTATGTAGCTCACAAAAGAGAATGTCTCCTTTCCTGGAGTTGAACCTGCCATCTCAGAAAGGTTAATTATTTCTTTTCACATGCACTGATAAACTTCATTTTTGGTGTGATTTATTCTAAGCACTTTCTGTTTATGGTACCTATCAGTAAAGTAGCTACAAATCAGTAACAGAAAGGCTTTCAACTTAAAGGTTGTTTTCAAAAGCTGTGGTGAAGGATAGAAGAATAAGAATTACAAGAAAATAGAAATTTTTGGCAGCCTTGCCAATCCCTTTGAAAGCCCCAAACTCTGTTCATGTAGCATTTGCACAGCTCCTCTACCTAGACACATCAGCTGTAGCTTATTTTCAAACCGTAATATCAAGTATGCTCAAAGAAGAGAGGAAACTTTACAGCAAGTGATGGAGGATTTATATTTTTCCCAAAGTACAGAGAAAGGCGAAATTAAAAGAACTTGTACTATGAATCGTTCTACAACTAAAGCATCAAAAATCCATTCCTTATGAGGCAGCCTGAACTATAACGGCTGCTGGAGAAAGGCAAAGATCAACATATGCAACACATGTAGTGCCCAGAGGAGCAGTATTAGAGAGTTCTGCCCTTGCTACACAAATGACCGTTTGCCATCTGCCACAGAAATCTCATTACTTACATTGGTATATCTGTAAAAAGGTCTCAGAGAGTTTGTTGGTCATGAGAGGCTCAGGGAGATCACGGAAGAATTGCTTTAACATGTCTGCTACATCATAAGCAGACTGGCCTTCGTAGTTGACGCTGTCTGTTGAATTCTCATTCATTTGACGCAAGGCCTGAATTCTTGATTTGACTCCAGATTTCCTAAACAGTCCAACCTAAATGTAAATGGAAAGGTAAAGACATTTACAATGAGTCCAGCAAATCTGAAATGTAAGCATGCTCTTTAGCTTCTTACTGTATGGGTTCTAATTTCATGGAAAGCTTTCTTTGCATTAATTATCTATTTTGTCCTGTTTTGAGTCTACTTTTTTCAGTCTGACGCAGGAACAATAAGAAGTAATGGAAGGCTGGGCTTCAGGTGCTGCATGCATGTGGGATGAGGGTACAGCAAAACCCACCTGATCCAGGCAGTGGTTGCGGAGGTACCGCATGGCTTGCTGAATGCTCTGCGGAAGAGGCTGCCCTGTGCGCTGGACGTTGACTTGCAGTGGTACTCCAAACACGTTTCGGTCTTTGTAATCTGGTACCTTTATCCTTTTCATAAATTTTGGTACTGCCCTATTTAAGCAAAGGGAATGACAAAATTAAATTAAACTTCTGTTGACCATTTATATTCTGTATTTCCAGTAATTCCGAAGTCAGTAAAAATAAGTGAAACACTTTAGTAATATGAAAAGTAGTGACAGTATAAATTAGCTGATCCACTCAGGGCTGGGAAGGGGGAGAGGACAGAAAACAAGAGTTTCTCTAAGAGAAAGGCTTGACATTCAGGGCTGTATGCCGCCTGTAAGTATTAATGTGGTGCTACTCCATCAATATTAGTAGGACAAAAGCTACGGGGTAAAACTGCAGGGGCCAGATTGAATTGCAAAAGAGTCAAAATAAATCCTGTGGTCAGTGACCCCTTATAACACTGCTTCTTTAGGTTTCGGGAAAGATGGGCATTCGAACAATGAGCTTTTGTATGTCAACTACTTGTTCTGCAAAGTCCTCAAACTGGGTCCACCACCCACCAGTGTGCATAACAGCAGGAAACTGATGTAATACATTTGAGTTTGTCAGCTAAAAACTTCAGCTCTATAAACAACCCCTTTGAGAGACCCCCCTTCTTGTCAGCCAGTGGCTGTTGTTACCCCCACCTCCCACTCCAGTTTCAATGAGAGGCTTTTCCATCTGCTAATGACTCCAAGGAAAAAGTTACTAAATACAAAAGAATGATTTACCCCCAGGTTCCCAAGAGTATTGATTTCATAAAGGGGGGAAAAAAAAGCCATTAAAATGTGAAAATATTGAGATCATTTTCCTAAACAGGGAGAAAAGCTAATGTCCAGTGCAACACCTAATAGGACACAGTAGCACTGGAAAACAGGGAGACCTATTTAACATTTCAATATACAGTACAGCTATACAAACAGTGCATTAGATTTACAGCTGACTAATCTGTTACATAGGAAAACAGAACCAATTTGTATTGCCGTATAGTCAAGTTTCGAGCATTATTGATATATGTATGAATAATACTTGCTTTGTCAAAAAACATGCCAATGGAATGTGAAAAAACACATTGCGATCTCCACTGAGAATCTGAAGCATGCAGGGATAACTGGTCAATACTTATTTCTGTCTTTCAGAACAAACAACTTCTGTATTTAGAAAGGCTGACATAATAACAGCCTTTGAACAGGAGGTACTTTGATGCCGAAGCTAAATACTCTCTCTGACTCCTGGGGAAGGGAGGAGGTTGGCCTGTGGTAGGGAGAAGAAAAATTTTACTGCGTCTTTTGCATCCTGAAGGCTACACAGGCTGTACTGCAGATACAATAATAAAAGAGCTTTCTATTTCATTCTTCTGACAAAAAAAACCCCATTCAACTGGGTTACAAACACCTGGCCACGGCACAAATTGCTGCCTACAAAAAACTCCATGGTCCTCCCAACCTTTCTTCTCCCCAACCCCCCTTCCCTCATCTTTTTTTGCAAGTTAACTGGATTTATAGTGCTTTAAAGAGGGGAGATAGATTTTGGCTAATAAGACAGGAGAACTAAAGGAAATTTACATTATTTAATTATGTAATTATATAGAGGAACTAATGCAAACGTTTAAGAATAAGTGAAGAAAAGCAAGCCTATTAAGATCTGAGGTTTGTGCCACTGCTCGCTAACTGCCTCAATAAACAACTAGTCCTTCTTTTGCTATGGATAGCGGACATATTCCTGCTCAGAAAGCTGGCCTGTACTTCATTGCTTTTGTCTCTCACATGCCTCCTATAAACATACTTCTCAAGCCTAATAAGATTACACTTACGTAAAGGGTTAGTGATTTTAGCCCTGTCTTAGGAAACCACAAATCACTGTCAGCACAGGCTGGAGGAAGAAGTGCAAATATGGAAAAAGAGGGATGGAGGGATCCGTTGTGTCTTTCCAAAAGTTGCTTAGAATGAGCGCAACTGTCGTGCTCGTATAGTTGGCCTGTCTACACATGGCACTGTGTCCTTACCAGCTGAAACCATGCTTGTTGGAAGGCGTGTACTTCTCCAGGAGAGCCGTCAGCTTCAGGAGAGAGTACTTCTGTAGCAAATTCATCTGTGCCACGGACTGGCAGTTGATCTGCAGCGACGCCGAGCTGAGGCTGGGCCGGTGAGAGCTCTGGAAGCTGTGCCACCTCAGCCTGTGCCTGCGGAGAAGATGGGGGACAGAGCAAGGACCCGTCACTGAAACGTCTCTGCAAGACACCTGCAGGAATTACCGCAAAGGTACTGCTGAGCTCCCTGCCCTTGGCAGCCGCTGTCGTCTGAGATTTCACAGGCATCAGCCAGCAGCGTCTCTGCCTCACCCGGTGCGATGCAGCATGTCCAGGTGCTTCAGGCGGGAATGTGCATTCTGAGCCGACCCACAGCTCAGTGTTACACTACACAGTCTTGCCCTACCCGATATCCTCCGAGGGCTCCGACACCCTTTCTCAGAAGCCCCTTCAGTATTAAGGCAGTGGGAACCAAAAAACTCCATGAAGAAAAAACGGCTCAAATTTTTAAGACACATCAAATGGGAACTAAGCACTTCTAAAGTCCTATTAAGTTCATACAAGCAGCTGCAGGCGATTAAATGACAGCAGAAACCAGGCCCTAAATGATTTGCGCCAGTTTTAAAGGAAAACTGGAAACAAAGCTAGAAAGAATTCAACTCATTGCTCTGCTCACAATACAAAATACAGTTAGTTGGCCATCCCATGGTAAAACTCCCAGCAGAAACTGGGAGGCCACTGGAACTCCCCCAGACCCTCACTGTGATGCAGTGATCAAGAGAAAGTCAACAATCCTCATTTTCCCCGCAGATTTAATGCCCTCACACGCTATTAAGAAACAGCCTGCTACTGAAAAGTGCAATTTTTTGAAAGAGTCTAGAAGTCAAGGCTTTTACTGCACACTGACACAAACCAGACCATACTTAACACTGGTTCTCCTAGCCAACTTAAAAAGTGAATAATCCTACTTGAGGTCTCTCTCCATCCCACACACCATTTCAGTTTGAATAATTATCATCCCCAAAAACTGTCTTAACATTGCTCCTAACGCTGACTTGCCGAGTGGGCTGTTTTTCAGTGACGACTCAGGCTGAACATACAAATGCACAGTTACGAAGTGTGGGAGTCACTTGTCTAGAAGTCTTGCATAAATACCTCCCTTGCATATAATTGTTTTGGGAAGCGATGGGAAAAGCACGTGTGTGCTTGAATGGCCACAACTTCTATCGCATGTTAACTGAGTGTGGTGCAGCTACTACAGAGCTACTTGGGCTGGAGGGGACCTCACCGAGGCTGCTCCAAGTCCCAGCACTCGTGATCTCACCTGCTGGGCCGCGTCAGCGATGCGCCCACCCCGGAGTCCCTCCTGTCCTGCATCCCCGTGGGCTCTTCCGTCTCGTTCAGGGAATTCCCTGTACTGTCAAGGTCACTCGGTGTTGTTCGATCGTTATCTACATCGAGGTGGATCTGCTTTGGAGAGGAAGGACATGGGGAGATGGAGTCAAGCGCCGAGTCGGAGTCCCCTTCGTCCGAGAACTTCTCTGACCACTGGTTTACTATTCTCTGCATCCCTTTGACGTGGTACAGGATATCGTCTAGTTCTGGGAATATATCTTCATTTTCGAGGTCAGCCAGGTCGCTTGTACTGGAATATAGGATCGAGCCTGGCACGTTGTCATAAATACTCAGGCGGCTGCTCACTGAGCTGGAGGAGTTGCGCCTTTTCCCCGTGCCCAGCTCTTTGGAGCTGTCGCCACTGTTTTCCCTCCGGAGGGTAAGATGGCCATGTCCGTGGAAACTCCCTGTCCTCCAGTTCACAGAGGCATTGCTTTCTGTGGGGGAGAAGTTGCCGTTGGAGAGTGCTTTGGGAAAAGTGCCGGGCTTATGATCTTCGGGGATAAAAAACACGGTGTCTTCCGCAAAGCTTCCCCGGTTCTTGAAGTTCTGTTCCATCACGTCGCTGAACGTTGACTGGTTGAAGGGGTCGAAGCCTTCCAGGTACATGCCCACCCTTTTATTGTATGCACTGAGGCTGCGTGTTCGTGTGACGGGACTGGGTGTGCTGACGGCACTGCTCGTCTCAGACTGACTACTGCTGCTGCTCGTCTGGGTGGAATTGGAGACGCTCCTCTTTCGTACCATGGGGAGGCTGATGTGGTTGCCATTGAGGGCCGAAATCTCCACGCAGTTAAGTTGTTTCAGTTTATCTTCATCCATGCCCTCCTGCAGGATGGGTCCGCTAATAATAAGGCCAAGCTTTGAAGGAGATTTGCTCTTGCCATGGTGAGAGCTCTTGATTTTCAGACTCTCCATTCTCTTAAGCAGGCTCTTTGTTTTGGACTTGGCATTCTTCTCATTGGCTTTCGTGTTGAAGCTGAAGCTATTCAGTTCCCTGGGCGAGGGGAGGCTGCTGAATGAGTCATCATTTGCTACGAAATTGCTGGATGAACAAACGCTCACGACCGAGTTGGTCCTGGTGGTAGATGCCTCGCTCTGCAGGGTTGGCTGGTGGCTGCTGGTGCTGCTGATGCTCAGAATAGAAGCCACCTCTTGGCGTTCGCTGAGGTCTGTTAGCACGCTCTCACGGCTTGCCGTGTTAGTAAGGTGAGGAGCTTCTGGGGAGGGGGTATTCAAGTCCGGTTTTGGAGGGAACACATCAAACTCTTCAAGCCTTGACCACCTCTTGCTGTCCCTCTGAAAAGTCCATTTGCCACTTATTGCACAAGGTTCATCTTCATCCGAATCTTCACTCTGCAAAGAAGAAGAATGCTGAAAGTACTGCTTGCAAACTGCCCAAACAGCAAAGGTGGTTGCATTTAAATACAATGCCCACTAAACTGCTTTAAGCATGACCTTGTTGTCACTGAATTTAAAGGGAAAACAGTCTTTTACTTCAGGGAGAGGAAGATTAGGCCATAAAGCCCATCACAGGAAAAGATAACATGGGACAGGCAATATACTTTAATAGTTTTTAAATACAAAAGATATACACTTCGTAAAAAGAAACAAACAATACAATCTGCTTTAAATTGCTCTTTTCTGAAAACCCTAATATCCATAGACTTTTAATTAATTGGTCACAGTGGATAGCCCTCAGATCAATGGAAATTCCTGGCATGCATAAAATTTCAAACTGGAGTCAGTCAGGGGTTGGGGGTCCCTCTGGACTCTCTCCAAAGTTACACTCTGTTGATAGTGGCTGTGTGTTTATACTCCTCTTCGCAATTACGAGATGTTTCTCATACGTTCCGAACTGTAGCGGCTTAATTCCTTACCCATTTGGGAAGTCTGAACAGTCTCCTCGCTGTGACTAATGAGATAGCAAAAGAAGCTCTTGCCACTGCAAGAGTGTGATGCCTCCAGGCTCTTACCTGGTCCACTCTTCCTCCCACAAGCTAGCAGCTAACATTTTAAGAATGTCCTGTGAAGTTTCTGCTTCAGTCTTGCTTCAGGCAAACTTTAACACTCATAGATAGCGAGCAGCTAGCGCTCACTGACAGTACAGCACGTAAGTAAATTGTAAATAACATCTCCACTGATGATGCTTGATGTATGAGTAATGCCTGGGGCCACAATTACACGTACATCACTTAGGCCTACAATCTTTTCATCTAAATACTGAAAGAAAGTGATCCTGGGACTGAAATATTTGGCCTTCCAAATATCTGGAAAATTTCATGGTGGAAGAATAAAACCAATGAAGATATTTTAATACGACACCATGAAACCACAAAATAACCTTTGGTGTTCAGAGTAGGAAACACTAATTGCCACCCAGCTCAGTGAGTTTCACTTCATTTGTTTAGATTGTGTTAATTTAAAAACAAACACACATGCATGCCCAAACTGTAACTATTTGTGTGCCAGGAACACAAACATTTATTCTCTGAAAAACAAGTAAATAATTCATATTTCAAGTATTTTATTTATGCATACTTTAGCTCCTGATCCTCTCCTAGTTTTTTGGGGTTGGTTTTTTTTTTTATAGCACATTTCGTCAGCTCAGTGAAACACCATATTTATTTTTTATAACCAAATACACAGAAGACATAGAGGAAGTGTAATTTTCTTTGTTTCCCAACTACTACAAACTACTTCAGTTCATGACTCAGATGAAAACCTAAGAGGACTGGCTGGCTTATTTAAAGTTTTCAGGAGGAAAAAAGTCACCTGAAGCTGCCAATGGATGATAATGATGGTTTGGTGAATGTGGTTTGACTGTGAAAAAAGGAACTGAAAAGTGATCTTAATTTGCAGAGAGGTCAATGCAAACATAAGGAAACATGTATTTCTGTCAGCACAATCTTCCTCTAGTGTTAAAAAGCTTTAAAGGCTAAGTATTGATTTTAATGAAGTCAACAACAAAAGGGAATAGGATCCAAGTCCATCTGCCAGAATATGGGTGGTGAACGAAAATCAGGAAGGACTGAAACAAAAGGTAACGTCCAGCCTCCGGAAGATCTGGGGTTTGGACCTGAAGTCGGGTCTGGTCTGAACTCTAACAGCAATACTGATCATTCCAGTGTTAACAAGGTTCAGAAACAAGGATGAGAAATCTTCTGGCGGTCGTAAACGGCAATCCAGCTGTCTACCCCTACTTTTAAAGAGTTCCTACATACGCTGCCTCAGAGTGTTATCTTCTGGAGCTTGGATGCTGTTTCCAACATACCACAAACAGATAGGGAAAGAGGGGATTCATTCCTGGTAAACAACCTCAGAGCATTTGTATGCATTCTTGTTAAGGGTAGGGCAGCATTGTATTGCCTTAGCTCAGTCATCTTTATCTGCAGTCGTCATATCCCAGGGGACATTATCAACTACTGATCCCTCCTAGGACACACACATAGTTTTAAGACAGCTATTGAGTGGTACCTTACTCGCAAACCCCAGCAACTTAGCTTTCTGTCGGTACTACCTTACTGAAATCACAGTAGATGCTCTCTTATTTCTCACCATGCTCCACAGGGATCCTGAAGATTCAAGGAACACTTTTAAAAACTCCCTGGAAACATGCAAACTTTCTAAAAAGGTAGCTGATGTATTCTGCAAATACGTTGCTTCAATTTTGAGCTACGTAATTAAAAAAGAAGGAAACAATATGTCCAGTCCTACAAAGGATTAGCTCTTTCTTTTGCAGGCCAAGCACAGTCTAACTGATCCTGTCTGCATCATAATAAAATAATACGATTCTAACGCGATGGCAAAGAACCAAAACTGCAAAGATGATGCCAAAGACGATATTCTAATGCTCAGGTCAGCTCATCGTGGCTGGTCAGGATCTCCTCCATCAAGCTGAGTCTTTACAGTCCTGCCTGAATGCATGTACAATGCTACAACACGGACAACCTCGCACAATGCTACCACACGGACAACCTCGCTGGCAGGCAGAGAAGCCCAGTGCCTTTCAGACTGGGAGCAGCATCTCGGGGAAGAGTTTGCTAGACGAATAACCTTTACCCACGGCCAAGCCCTGCAGTTTTCACTCAGTGAGAACACAAAATGAAACGTAAGCAGAGTTTTGACTGTGTGTCCTTGCCAGGTTCTACTCGGGTGTTATCCTAGACTACAGCTAAGCAACCTGTTAGATTTATTTTTTTTTTCCAGTCTTATTAATGTACAGTGTTGTAACAGAAGATACTAAAGGAACTTACCCTTTTCCTGTGAGGACTGATTTCCAGCTTCATCACTGCACATTTGTTTAAAGTATTTAAGCGCCTGCAAAGCAAAGGAACCCATATTAAGAGAGCACTCCAGTGTTTTGACACAGGCTATTCCAGTTCAAAAGCTTTTGCGAAGGCTGTCCCCAAACTGCTTTGCATACAAATAGCCGCAAGCAGAGTTTCAATTAGAGCCCTAATTATACTTAACCATTAACCCATTACATTTGGCTGTATTCTAACTTCAGAGGGAGGGGTGGATGACTATTTGTCACAATTACCTGAATCAAAGTAAAGAGAAGTAAACGGAAACTTAGAGTAAGTTGAGAAGTGCATTACATCCAATGAATTGCAATAATCACATTTGTTTAAATAGCAGACATCCGAACCCTGAAACAAACAATCTCGACAGACTAAAAATAATGGAAAAGGCTTCTTATTTGACACTGCATACATCTGCCTGTGTGAAAAAAGCACGCTGCTTTAAAATTGCTCTTTGTAAGCTAAAACGTCCCACAAGAAAACTTATTTTCCACTTATTAGGTGTCTATTTTGTTTGTAAACAATGATTATTTTCAATACAGTTCTGGGACAAGAAAACTCATCAGTTTAAAAAAAAAAAACAAACCCTGATTTTTCCTTCCTAAACTGAAAGTTTCTTTAATACATAAACATGTTGTTCTGAAGGACTAAAATTTAAACAAAAATAAATTGCTGCAGCAACAACAGTTAACCAGTCTCTTTGTAAAATGTGATAGCAGTCTGGATGTGTATCCTGAAGTACTGTATGAATGTATATAAGCATCCCTCTATTCCCCGATGAGCTAATGAGCAGCAGCTTCGTGGAAGCGATGGCTTGGTCCCTTGTGTTAATACTTCCACTCATGAGGGTGTACTGTGGGTTGGATGAGGAGACTAACTGAGCTGAAAACTAATCTTTCAATACTTTGTTGAGTTGAATTTCTCTCAGGTCAGTTCCCTGAGCTGCGAGAAGGGCAGTGTGTGCAGGGGGGAGGCAGAGGAGCAGAGCCACCCCATTCCTTCAGCTGGACCACAGCCCAAATTCCACAGGAGCAAAACTGAGCTTTAAAAAGCCCAATCAATTCTGAAGAATGTTGTATAATTTTCAGATAATTCGTTTGAGCAAAGTGTAAAGAAGAGCCTGTATCAGCTGCTTTGATAAACTAAAAAACCAAAAACCAAAATGCTGACTTGTCCTGTTGCTTCAGATGAGTCTTTTCAGATTCATGAAACTTGTAACTTGAATCTAGAAAATGTGTGCACAGGAAGAATTACTAGTTTCTTCTCCTTCCCCTCGCCTTTTATGCAAAGGATTGGTTGCAGATGGTATTTACACAGGGCTTGATCCTGAGGCCATCAAAGAAAATGGAAAAGCTCCTACTGGTGCTTTTGCTGCAGTTGTGAAGTTTAAAAAAAAAAAAAAAAGGCAGTTTGATCTATAATTAGACCCAGTTACAACACAGCAGAAAAGAAGAGAAACAGGAAGAATTGCCATGGGTCAAATAGTAGGGCAGTGGCAGGTTAGGAAAGTTATCTACATCTCCCTATTTTCATCTTTGCTCTTACTTTAAAAGGCAGAGGGCTCAGGCCTGCCGCCTGCAGCTGGTGGCATATACATACACAAGTCCAGTGAATTTCAGAGGAATTGTATTTATGGCGTGGGTGAAGGGTGAATGTCCTATCTACGTGCTACGCAACAAAAACTGGTATTTTGGTTTTTATGAGGCCACACAGCAGCAGAAAGCCCCCTCTCTGCTATAAAAACATTCTCCTCGCAAACTCCTGGACCTCAAGACCAGGGAATATTAAACTGGTTCCAGTTCTATATTGTGTAATAATTTACAAATTTCACGGTGTTGCAACCTTTGACTTATACAGAGAGAAGTTATCACCGAATCCCTGTATCAGGCTTTATCTAGCTCCAGCCTGTTCGAACGCTAATAAAGATGATCTCTGATTTCACAAAGATTACATCCCCAGACTTTTCTCCTACTCAAAACCCTGAAATAGGTGGAAAAGGGTAGAGCAAAGACCTCTGTTTCCATAGAGGGCGTTTAAGAAAAAAATAACATCTCCCAGTGCACACCTCACAAAAATGAGTATGATGGCAAGATAAGGTAACCCCCAATGAGCGAGGTTAAATACAATAGCAGTGAGGCAAATAAAGGTTCTGTTACACATTTGACATGACTTCATCACAAAACCAGTTTCCCTTTTAAAACCTAAATGCTCTGCAGCGATTGCCTCGGGTCTGCAAGTTTCATTATATACATCCTCTTTACCTTCTGCTCGAGTTCAGCAGTGTCCAGTTCCTTGCGCCACAGGACACTGGAAACACAGCACAAAATGCAAAACTGCCTTCCAAACACACTATTGAGCCTGCAAAGCTAAGCTTCCAAACTTTAGGCTTTGCCAGGACGAGAGTTATCTATACAACTGTCATTAATCTTCACATACGCTTTGCAATACTTTTTAAGCATGTAAGCACACATTCATTTTCGACAGATCTCACCAAACTGATGCTTGTTAATGAACTGCAATTTTCTCTTCTGGCTCCGGACCTTCTCCTTTGGTAATTCCATTGCCAGGTATAAATTCAACTTATCATTTCCCTACCGACATTCAGCAGGTCTGTCTCACTCTTTAGTTCCGTCTTATTCTGCCCAAACCTGTCTCATCGACACCTTTGTGAGGACAAGATGGGAGATGGAGGGACAGGGCAGGATTGCTGTCGACAGCAGTTACAGCTGCTTTCACCGTCTGGCTACCTCCGACTCAATTTCTACAATGCCTCCTACCCTGGCCCCTTTCTGGATGACAAGATAATATTCTTTCCTATCATTTAGATAAATGCCTTTGAGTCTGCGCTCTCTCTATACATCTTCACATCCAGATGATATCTCACTCCTGCGGAGCATTGTATCTCCAAGACGTCATTTTTCCTCACCCCCCAAGTACTCCTACCCAGGTTCTCACCCTCCTTCACCCTGGCTTTGCAAAATTCTTCTTCCTGAGGGTGACCAACACAACAGGACCTGCCCCTGGGTCCCAGCCCCTGAGTCCAGACTGGCCCGTATCAGCCCTGAGCAGCAATGACACGGGAAGCCTGAACCCGCCGCACCCAAAACGTCAAGCGATGGAGCTTCTCTCAGAAACAAGCAAACGACACCTTTTTCCTAGTCTTCCCCTCAGAAATGGCCAAACTGGTTTAGCCTGAACTTCTTTTAAGAAAGGTAGCCTGAACAAGACATTCGCTATCAAAAATTGCAGTGTGAACAGCTAACTTCACAAATTAAAATATGGGCTTATAATGTGAAGTCTTTGTTAAGCTAGATATGTCAGTTCTACATAGGCATGAACTCCAGGTAATTCATTTTTCTCTCATTAACAGGAAAAAATTCTCACCCCATATACCCAAGAAAAGTGGTAGCAACGCAGAATATTAGATTTTCACATTTTAAATGACAATTTTCAATCTCAGTAACTGTATGATCTAGCTCTAAAGTTTAAAATATTTTCTTGATGGATTTAAATTCTTAATTCCTTCCTATAGGGAAAATTCCAACTCCATTACACCTGCAACTAACTGATGACAGAAGGGCTTTCTTGTCTCACTGAAGTGGACATCCTCTACACCGGCTCCTGGGGTTCATCTGCATGTTCTAACCTGCAAAGGAGGCCAGCTCTCTACAAACCAAGTAATACAAGCAGTGAACGCTCCTCATGCAAATCCATGACAATCAATTTCTTGGACAAGCAGTCCTGATGGTAGAAGATTTAAGAAACCTCTTGAGTATACAGTGTGGCAGTTTTCTAGCTATGCGTAAGGAGATTAAATAGGATTTCCATCATGGCTTGCTATGTATTTTGTACTTAGCAACAACCTTTAGGATAAGCATGTTTCAGTACTTAGTTTCATCAGTGCGTGATGCAGTCAGTTATGCCCTGGAGATAAATTCCCAATCATTAATCTACATAAAGTTTTACGAAACCAAGGCATCAGTGCTTTGCACAGTCACTACATGAAGCATCCCAGTGAATTAGAGTCATCGCTCTTACATTTTTAACCCTGCATTTCACGGTAAGACCACTAAATGACATTTCTTAACCATCTATCTGTTACCAAGTGCCATATGCTATCCTGTAATTCAAGTCTCAATCCAATTTTCACTTAAAATTTTTCCATAAAAACCTTAATGGGGCGGCTATTGATACCTTTTCCATTTAGAAAGGAATTTGGCAAAACATTTACTAATAAGCTGGTTTTTACTAATAAGCTGTTTTTAAAGTTACATTAGTTTTCCTGCTTACATTAATAAGACTATTAAACAATAATTTACAATACTGTTCAGATGTAAACTATCATTTAAAATGCTTCAAACTTAAAAAATTCCTGCCACTGCAATTTCTACAGTCTTTTTCAAAACAATTTCTTCACATGCAGAAATGAGAACAAAGTAATTAGCATTGCTGGCAGAACACTCGTTGTTATGCAGAAAACCGGATTCTCAGCACAAACGACTTACTATTTTGTTACCATCCACTGCATACAGTGTTCACCTACCTCTGTGCTGAAAATGCAAATAACTCCAAAACTACTCTAATTTTCAGTGAAGAAACAGCGATAGACTTACGGTTGTGAAACAGCTCTAAGTCTTTTACTGAGTAAACCCCTTTACTGTTTACACACTGACCATGGCATGAGTCAAAATAAACCCAAGCTTCAGGCAGAAATGCAACACTCCAAATGACGTGCCTTCACCATGTTTCTTAATGAGCTTTACAAAATTAAACAAGGAGATGTGGAAAAAAGAGTTTAAAGGCGGAAATTTTGTGATAATGTATTGCTTTTGTCTAACACAAATGGTAAAGGGCCAAATTCAGACATCTCAGAAGATTTACTGAATTACTTCAGTTTTATTTTGAGGTGGGATCTGAACACTCCTGGAGAAACTTTAGCTTCAGTTTTAAAGTTATCTTGTAAAAGACAGCTCTGATATATATAAGCCACAGGCTTCAGAATGATACAGTTCAGCCTTTAAAATCTTTGTCTCAAGCTACAGTAAGACCAGTGGACTCATGCATATTACACAGAAAACAATTTGAAGATGAAAGTGAAGAGTTTATTTTACAATTAGCAGACTTACTAAAGATTTCCTAGTTTCACAAAATATTATATACCCATATCGTTTTGGTTTGCTCACCTTTATTAGAAGGGTTACAATATAAGCTTCCATTCTTAGGATACAGATCTTTTTACTGTACTCTGTGTTCAGAAAAAGTGCTAACTGTTTTTATTGATCACACTAGCAGCAAATCTCAAAGAGATAAGGAGGGCATATTCTTACTTTCACCAGGGAGAAACAATCTGCTACCTTTTTTTTTCCCCCATATAAACAAATAATCTCAGGTTAAAAAGTATTCTCACAGGCAAGCACTAGGTCCAAAATACGCTGGCTTGAGTGTATTTTGTTTTCCTGGCAAGGGAAGACCATGCTTCTGGGAACCAGCATTTATTCACATTGCTGTACTTTCTGTTCAATGACTTCACAAGTTCCAGGGCACACAAATAAGCAGACCAATGCATCGCATTTTAACATCGATCGAATAGGTGCCCTATACTTCAGTAGGGCACATCTTGAGTGTGAATTTAACACTAATGAGATTTTTTCCCCTCCTAATGACTGAACAACAAATCTGTTTTCTCAGTTTGAAAATCTTGTAAATATTTCTGAAGAACTTTAAATTCCAGTCCCTTTCTTTCCCTTCCAAGTATGGCAGTGATGGCATGAGAATACTATAAACTTAAAGCCTTTCTTAAAAGGGTTTTGTAATTCATTAGAATTACTGACATTTAGAGTTGCAGACATCATGGATGCAGTATCCAAAAGCATTCATTTTGCAGACAATTTGGAAAGCTGCCACACTGAAGAATAAAGGCAGAAAACTGCACTTATTTCTAGGCAATAGGAGACATGAAAATTCAAGGCATTTTTTTGCCATTTAAGATTGTGGATTCACATTAGAGGAGGCAACTGATGGATGGGTAAGTCTCAGGTGGGGCCATTGCAATTGCTTTTATGATAAAATTGGTAATGCTGAGGCCGTAGTTGTGTAAAAACATGCTGCCGCACACCGTCAAGCCTTCTTCCCTCTTTTTCTCTACCCATCCCTTCTTCTGCGCCTGCAGCTGGCTGTGGGGTTCTGTCCCATCCTTCGCACCTACTCTGAACTTCGTTATGCCTCTCCATGGGCTGATTTTATTTACTAATCCAGCAAAGGATTCTTTTTGCGGGTTGAATGAGTTGAACTGGTTTGTGGAAGGAGCCTTTGTTGAAGACAAGTAATGGGAGCACGTGGCTGAGGGCAGGCCAGTCTTTGCAGTGGTGATAAACTCTCAGATTTGCTCACATTATCCCTTTCAGCCATACCCACATTCACTTTGGTGATCATGATGCACACAGGGTGATGCACTGAGGTCAGCATGAGGGTTTGTATACGTCATTTTATGTTGTTTGTATACATCGCTTTCTGTTGTTTGTATACACAGCCACTCGCCAAGGTAAGAAAGGAGAGCAACGGGGTGCAGCAGCATTGCTTTGCTAATACTGCACCCAAAAAACAATTCCTGCACGGGAACTGACGCTACCATTGTACGTGCAGACAGCTGTAGCCAGCACAGTTCTGCTTTCACATGCCTAGGTAATTGGGGAATTAGTAATGAAAGCAAATTAAGAATGATAATAAAAAATATGCCTATGAAATACCTGTCACAAAGACTCCTGCCACTGCCCTCCCAACTTTGTTTCAAATAAGATCCCCAAACATTACTTAGCCCAATATATTATTCTAATGAAAACTGCATGCTGATAGTGGATAATAAAAAGGTCTCAAGCAAATGGCTATTTAATGGTACATAATTCAGTTGAGGTTATGCTTTTCCCAGGTATTATACACAAAGGGTGTTGTTTCAAAATGCAGTGTGATTTTTTTTCACCTACCTGCATAACGCCTCAATAGCATCTCTGTCCAGAAAGTCATGCTCTCGCTTGACTACAGCGATGTCAATTGGAAAAAGGAGATCTGTAGGAACAGAGACAGATGGAACCAAAATTACTCTTATTCCCAGTGGTGAGTTATTTCAGAACAACCAGCTGCCTCCAGTTGAGCTCACCAAGATGCCAGTGATTGGCACTTCTCGGGTAAACACACACTATCATCTCAAATGCCAGAGATGCTTCCTTCTCATGTACATGTTTTTGGCATGCAGCTTTGATAACTGAAAGTTCCTCTGCAAAATGGAGGGAAAATTAGCAAAGCAGAGATGAAACAATGGGAGAGGGAAAGCTCCCTATCTGACACCAGAAGCATAAACTGACTCAGGCTAGCTTTATTTAAAATAAATATACAATCTCCATCAAAGCACTAATATCTCACATTAAAGCAAAAAGGTCAGTAAACCCCAAATCTGTGGAAAAGAATGAAAAACTGAATCTCCTTGGCTGTTAATCAAGCTATATAAAAGTTTGACACTGTTACAACATTAATGAGATATGGACTGAAATGAAAGCAAGCCAAGCGGCGTGGAGCCCATACTGCCTCCTTTCCTTAGGAGATTATTTAGGTAAACAACTGGGAGAGTGAGGGGGAGGAAACAATGTTGGCAGAGAGCTGAAAATTTACTAGAGCTCTGAAGCAGCAACCACATATATATTATTTACTGTCCTCCACAGATTCCTGACTGTCATACAGGTCCTGATCTGGCATTCCTTGCACAGCCAAAACTCCCACCAAAGCCACTGGGTGTTCAGGGCACACAGCAATACAAGGACAAACTACAAATATACTGCTGCAGTTGCATACAACTTTCCTGGTCCAAGTGATTGCCTATAAAATATTTTAATTTCCAGAGACTGGGAAAGCATGAGCTGAAATGATGGGAAGAATAAGACCAGTGTTAATTTATGGAAAGGTAGTTAACATTCTGGGTTTTCTGTATCAACAGATCACCTCTCAAATGAACTATCTGTCCTGATTTTGCCCCAGGAATAGACACATTATGACATATTCTGCAAAATGGAAGACATTTCACCTCTTCTACAGAAAACCAGTTTTAGCAAAGCAACTGACAAAGGCTCACTGATTAATCTCCATTTCAAATGCGTACTGCATGGGACCGCTCTATATAAGTGACTTCTCACAGCTCTTGTACTATACTCACTTGATTCATAGGTCTCCCCTTCACTATTTTAAGTCCAAGGTGCAAGTAAAGTGGGTGAGCACATTCAGCTGGTATTTTTCACCACTGCTGATGTAAATTTTTCCACTAAGAAAGTCAGTACCTTAGAATGCCCACAAGAAAACATATGGGAGAACTTAAGTGAGAGAGGTGACTTGGAAGAAGTTGATAGTCTGCATGAGTCCATTTTTTTTTTACGCTTAATTTATGCTGCTGCTGTTTTTGTTGTTGTTGCTGCTGCCAGGGGGGCTTGCAAAGAACAATGGTATATTGTTTTCATATAAGGACAGCTGTCTTTTCAATGGGTATGGCTGGCCTTGCTCTCACCTCTTGCTCTCAGCTCAGCGGTCCTTTTGATGTTAGGCAGGAGATGGTCCTACATTAGATACTTTACATAAGTTTAGAGTCTCTAGGTAGGGTAATGGTAACCACAGGTAGGACATGTTTTCTAAATGCAAGTAATTTGTTAGGGGATTTACAGCTCAGTATAACATGAAACCCACAAGCCCACGTATTCAGCTGAGAGTCTTGTCCCCAGTTTTAACAAAGACTGGAAGTACAGTCCCAGCTCTGCATCCCCAGAAAATCCTGGCATCTCCATTTGCACAAAAAAAAAGGAAAAAAGTAAAGGGAGAGAAATAATAAAAGGAAATTTAATTTCTGAACAGGCGAAGAAAAGTTTCGCCAAGTGCTGCTTTTGAAAGTGCTATTATCATCTCATATTGCCAATGCAGCTGCAAATCAAAGCTCAACGAGATCATTTTTCAAGAAGGTCAGCTCAGCATTTGTTGTAATTTCCAACAGTTATTCACTGTAAATAACGGACTTTCTATGCTCATTCTTACAAGCAGCAGCTGGAGTTTGTTCTATAAAAAAGAAGAGGCAGATAAGACTGCATAATAATTTCACTATAATGCAAGTAACTTTAAGTGGCGTGGGGGGGAAATTCTGAACAATAATACACATATATAAAAAGGACATCGCACTTTAAAACAAACTTCTGTATGTTACTCTGTATCACAGTGTAAGTACTGTATGCCAAAACTGCAAGTTCCTAGTAGGTTAGAGAGGCAATGAAGACAACAGTTTTAATTGAGCAAAACCTTTGTAAAAGTGGATAGGCAAAGCGAATCCATCCCACAGAAGGACAAGTGAGTGCAGGAGACAGCAGTCTCTTCAAGGAGCTGCTGCACATCTGTGCAACACTGGCTTGTATGTTCTTTTTTCCCTCCATAGTGAGCCTGTGTCTAACACCAACCCAAACTGTTCCGAAAAAACACACAGGACTTGGGAATCACGAGGCGTACAGATGCATCCACACATACGCAGAATTTCCTACCTCTGCTCCATTAGGAGAGCTGGCCAGTGGAGCTGGACACAGCTTCTGTCTTTCTCCAAGACCGGGCTCGTAGCAGCGGATGACTACATTCACAAAAATACAGTTCTTTTGTGTTTTAACCACAGGGAATATACCATGGGGCTAACATGACATTTATGCTATGAGGGCATTTGGAAGATTCAGACTAAAACAGAAACCTGGAACAAATTTAAAACTCCAAGAGTGCTTCAGAGTCTCACTGGGTTTGGTACATCTATGCGTGTGGTGGGGAGTGGAGAGCAGCCCAGTCCTTGAAAGTCATCTTATGTACTGGCACTTCAGTTGTGCCCCGGAACCTCATTTATTGGTGACTATTACATCTTATTGCCCAAAAATTGCCAAGGGATGATCAATTTGCAAGCTCAGGTGCCTACCTTCATAAAGCTGCGCGTACTGTGGGAACCCGGCAGCCCGCAGCCAGTCACAAGCTTCCTTGGCCTCGATTTCTAGAAGAGGACAGGAACAAGACACCCTCCGATTAGTGATCTGCAAAGCAAAAACTTCCTCTCCACCACTTCTACTATTCCTGTTACAAAATAAGCACAAAGGTATTCACCAACTTTGAACTGAGACACAGGCTGGCTTATCCCAGTTTGCTTTTCTTCTCATGATCAAACATATCTTAGATTCTGGAAAGTCATTAGCATTCACCTGTGATTTATCAACAGCTCATCATTTTAATAGTTAGACAAACAGGCGCAGATGAAAACTGCAGGAGTTACGGATTATTCTGTACAGGTTTTGTTAACACTAGAGAAACGACCACCATCATCAACATGAGCCGCATTTGTTCAACAAATCTTACAATCCTCTCAGCACAACTATTTTGTCTGGACAGAAATTCCTAGTAGAGCTCGTAATACTGTGCACTTTAACATCCTGTAGATAGTGCTGACAGACCCAAGCCCAAGAACAACCAACACGCTGTACTGCAGCTCACTCAAGCGTCTATTTACTACCCAACAAGAACCTAGTTTCACTGGTGGTCTTCAAGGCATTTATGAGTTACTTGGTATATTACAGGAAATTCAGCTAACTTTCCCTCACACTGCCCAAAACAGCATGCCGCAAAATTAAATTATTCACGTACATATATATGACACCAAAAGAAAGGAAACATTCTGAACACGGGTTATATTAGTCTGTGAATAAATTATGCATAAATTCATTTGTCACCTAATACAAGCAGAAATAAAGAATATGTTATCTTATTAGCTCAAACTAGGAAAATATAAAAGTATTTAGGGTATTCTCCAAGTGTTCAGGAAACAGACTGGGTTAATTTTTTTCTTCTAAAAATTCAAGGAAGTGCTACAGGGAATTTAGCTCCCTGCTTAGAACTGATCAAACAGACAGTTCATCTGGCTTTGATTATGTTCACTGTTCTCGATGGACCAGAAAAGAAAAGCTTCGTTATGTACAACTCAGTAGACAATTTTGCCACCTACTTAGAGAGGATACTACAGCTACCTGCTGCAGAAACCACCCAAAAGGGTTTTGCTCCAAATTGCTCAGAATACAAGTTACTGCATACAGGGCAGGGAAGAGCCAAATATAACATAAGTAAAATATCTCAAGATTTTGGCATGTTATGAAATATTTCCAGTGAGATATAGGTACACAAGTAAAATCAGACGAAACAGCAGACACCTTTTAGCATCTCCAAAATGAACGGCAATCCCCCTCTAATTTTCCAAATTGCTACAACAGGGTTAAAATATTTGTGCTTTGCCAGACTACTTTGCTAAGATACATACCCAAACCTAGGGGTTAAGGTGGGCCAAAGCACAACATTGCAGATAAATAAACAGCTAAAAATCCACTCTCGCTGAAGCCAGGACAAGCAGGCGTTTGTGTAACTTGTGCTTGCTTCACCTTTGGGATATGGGACCACATGAGAACAAGCACGTACAGACATATTGACATAGCTACTCATTAAGAAAAAGCATTCTTCAATTCCAGTTGCAAGCGATTGTAAAGTTTTGCTTAAAGTAGTACTTTAATTTCAGTATCCTAAGGAAATACATTGGAAAGTTAATAAAGAAGGGGAAAAAAAGAATCTGTTTTAAACTTGTACTGCCAAGGAACGAACAAACAACGAGGTATTACTATCTCAGAAGCAATGCAAATACTAAAGTAAAAAAAATCTGCAATTAATTTTAAGGAGTACTTTAAATAAAATGCACTATCTTATATGTCACATCTGCAGAAGTGTCTGGATTGAATGAGAATTTTACTTGATTTAAAACTGAAAAGAAAATGATCCCCAATAATCAGCATTTACCTAAAAATACAGGTAGATGCTTATAGTGCAATTGAAAAAAGTGCTGGATTCCTTACTATTACAGTGGCTCTTAAAAGTGTTCAAACATTTGTTCACAGGTCCTTTAGTGAGCACCCCAGGTGCATGACCCGTAAAATATTTCTAGAGCTAGAAAATTATGAATATGCATTTCTTCGACTTTTTTTTACGGTTCTCTATAGAAGCTTTGTGTATCTTTCCTGCAAATATACATGCAAGTGTTGTGGAAGTCCTATTTTATGGGTGCCCAGGTGTCAGGTGCCTTTGGGATTTTCAGAGCATATTTGCTTTCAAAATACCTTTGAGATTCCCTAAAGAAGTCTACCTAGGCAATGAAACACCCGAATTATTCCTGGTTGGCCACAAGAATTGTGCAGAATAATAAAAGACCAGTGCACCTGTTCATCGACTAGGCTAGGCAAATGCTAGGGCTGGCTACAGACAGCACCAAGGATTTACAAGCAGTATTTACCCCATTTCCATCTCAAACATTTTGGGAAAGCCAGAGCTCTAGCCTTTGGCTCCTGTTGCAAGTCCTTGGAAGGGCGAAGGGTTTGGAGAGCTGACCTGACAAAGGGGCCAGGGAGTCCGCCGCGGCCGGGGCTCTCTCCTTGTCACCTCCATCCACATAAAGCGTGTGCCAGAGAGGGATGTGGCAGGGGTATGGGTGACAGAGCAGAAGCAGGACCTAAAAGGGCAGCTCCTTTTGTTCAACTCCAGCTGGCCAAATCCAGGATTGTTCCTAGACTGTACCGATGCAGTCTGACCAGATGAATGGAAAGGCCACTTCCAAACCAGCTTCCCCATCTCGACCCTGCTGGTTACTGAGGGGTCAGAATATGAAAAAAACTTTGTGTGTATGTGAATTTCAGGCAGATCAAAATATAGCTGGAGGGAGAATCCAGCCTGGGGTGCGCTGAATAGGCTGCACGAAAAGCTGAGTACACAGAACAAGCTTCCTCACATAAGAGATACAAACGTAAACAGCTGAAAGCTTGTATAGGTAAAAAGTTCTCATTACCACAACTTAACTGGAACCTGCCTTTGAGAATAAAATACATTAGTTAAACCTGAGATTCTGGCCAAATCGTTTCAACTACGCTAGAGGACAAAGCTCATTCCCACACTTTCCAAATACTAGCTTTTCTTCCAGCTCAGCAGCATCAGCCCTGGGACTCTTGGTTTGCCAGCTGCCATGGTTCCATATCCAGATGGGTATGGGAATATGTGCAAGTCCTTGTCATCTGGATCAATGGCAACTGGGACGATGAGGGACAAAAGAGGGAAGAACAGAGCTTCCAAACCCAGATTTTTCCACTGTTTCTAAAAAGTTTTAGAAGGGAGAGGGCACCCAGAAGCCTTCGTTCTGTCTCCCAGGGGACCCAGGTTACAGATCATTACCTGAGCTACGAGCTCACTGCCGAGCACAGCATCTGCTGGGATGGGGCCAGCTGAGAGCCACAGGGAGGAGAGGGAGCTTGCAGAGGAACTCCGCACTGCTTTCCAACCCATTTTAGGGAAGCCCTACTTCAGGCCCGATTAATTTGCCACGATATGCAAAGCAATTTCCCACCGTCAGCATCTTCCTGATGAAGACCTAGCAATTGAGCTGATACAAGTTGCTGCGGGCAAGGGACTGGTCTCACTCCCTCCTCCCTGCTCCATCTCTGCGGTGCCACTTCCCTTCCGAATCAAACATCCTTGCCAGTTAAAACCTTTACAATAAACTACAATTCAGTGTACATTCCAGGCAAGAAATGTATGTGCAGCTTTTCAGATGTGTGTCCTGTGCCCTCCCCCAGCAGCAGGAGGTTCTTATACGAAAGAACCACTGGCAAGAAAGAAATCGCGTTATTATTTCTACATGTCCTGATACTCAAGAAAATCTCTTAGAAAGTAGAACAAAACAAAACAAAACAAAACCAACCAAAAAAAAACCAAACAAAAAACCCCACCAACCCCCCAAAAACCCAAAAAGGAGCACAATGAAGTCTTTATTCTTGGTGTCGTGTAAGCAAACAGCAGGCAAATGTGTTAAAGAGGAAACAGGAAATTTTTATTGGAAACAGCTTTATTTGTTAGTCTGTTTCACAAAGCAGGTCTCCATGCTCAAATCAAGGGTAGGAGTTCCTTTTGTGTGTGGTTGGGAACCATTAGTCCTTATTTACCCACTTCCTGGAGGGTTAGGAGGACCCAATTCTTCCCCAAACTGGTACGTGAAAATGGAAATTTCTAACTTCCCTTTTGTTTAACTTTGGTTCCTGGCCCTGCAAGTTTGCAAGTTTAAAACTTCACAGCAAAAATATCTCAAATCACACCTAGTTTGATATTGCAATTGCAGAAGGGACAACTCTAAGATGTCTACAGTCTTTTGTTGCATGATACCCTCCTTCCTATAGAAAATAAAAACCACACAGTAATAATGTCCTTCCAGAAAAAAATAATCATAGCAGTCTAGCTAGGAGCAGCAAGATCATTTCCTTTCATTCTTCCTTTCTTTTTGCTTCCACGAAATAACGCACAGCTTAAGCACCAGCTCTTTCAGGGTCTTCAGGACAAGCTGCAAAGCAGATGTATCTTTGTACAGTCGTGCATCGACTCCATTTTCACCTAGGTGCTAAACATCATATGAACGGTTCTTCCAGGCAGATGGTTTCCTCTTGCCTCAACTCAGACACCTTTATAGCCACATTAGCACCTCCACACATCAGTTCTACTCATCTTACCTTTTGGCTCTGTTAAGACAGCACATTGTAAAAATCTGTAGCAAGACTGGTCAAATTAACGCTGTTAAAATCAAATTTCAGCAAAAATGGGCTTCCCTGCTGAAGGTTCACTCCAATGCCATACCTAACAACTGGTTTGTCTGGGGTTCTTTTTGGTCTTAATTTTTGACCAGGTCATTCTAGTTGAAATTCCCTATTTGACTTTTTCAGAAAAAACAAAAAAATAATTAATCGTCCTCCTGAATTAGCTTGCAAGAGAGTCTCTCCCATGCAATGAGGACAATGTGATTTCTCACCATGAATGCTAGAGATGAACCTGCTTGCTCTCTACTATAATGCATAAGAATCCATAAACTACCTACACATTTTCTAAGGCATAGATGGAGCACAAAGAGGATTCTTTCCCATCCAGG